CACCCCGCCTTGTCTTATGTTTTTCAAACTGATATAGGGCTTTCTCATGTTTGTTTTCATGTTACAGCTCCATTTTTCACTCATCTTTGACATTATCTGTCTTCCTTCAGAACTCTATGGGCTCTTACAGAAAACAAAGGAAATTTTGCTTGCTGTTTTTACATTTCAACAAAACAAAATAACGCCATATAGCTTTGGCTACCTTCATGCTAGCAAGCAACCAGATTGTTTAGTGTTTAGTCTGAATTTTTTGAAGGTAGCTCAACCATTGGCAGGCAGACATGGTAGAAAATTTTATCTTTAACAGATAAAATTTGGAAAAGATGCATGAAACTAAACTTGACTTTCACAGTGAAAATGATACTAAATCTTAGTGTGAGCTTCTCATCACAGCAGTGCTACTGTTATGTTTTCCTGCCCTCTAATTCTCTCTTTACTCTTTACTTATCCTGATGCCTGTGTGAATACTTGAAAATGTGACATTATGTGACATTTTGGAGAATGTCTGCTTGTCCAGCCCTGAGATAAAAAGATCATCAAGAAGGAACAAAAAAATTCTACATCTTAATCTATATTTCAGCTCATTATACCCACTAAATAAAGTGAAATGAAGCAGGAATTATAAACATCTAAAAGTATCTAGACTAAGTCCAGAGAGTTAATGTGTCAATGAAATAAACTGATGTGTAAATGACAGTATAAATGTCTGTTGTTGGATTATTCATAGATATAGGGAAGTGTTTAAGTTTTTGTAACAGTTTGGTTTATTTTATCTCTTGTTACGTTGAGCACAACTCAGACTGGAGGAAGTAGTGGCTTGACTGTTGAATGATTTCTCTAAATCTTAAAGTTCCAGTTGACTAGGCCAAAGAATTCCTTCTTGTCCTGTACCAAGTGTTGTTTCCATGGACTTGTAGTGAGAAGAACAGTGCACAAGCTTTTGTTGACTTCCTAGACCCTGTGCCACTCCACCCCCTTACATTACTACCCAAATGACATTATCTTCTGGCAGCTAATGCTGAAGAAGCCTGGCTTTGATCTGACTATAATGAATTTGTATATTGCTCTGTTCTGAATAATGATGAAGCTGAACTTTAATTGCATGGATGACAAATGGATATTGCATGCTCAGTCTTGCTTCAGCAAACAATACTTTGTTTTTGAGTCTGCACATACATAAATATAAACTGTGATGCCAGAGTTCATGGCTTTTATCACATCATTGACAAATTCCTTCCTTATATTCAATGTAAATCTACCCTCTTTCAATTTAAAATGATTGCCATGTATCTACAAAGGCATCTGTCCTTCCTTTATTACAAATACATACAATCACTCTGAACTTGTATTTGATCCTTTTGTATCACCAAAGAACATGCAGGAGTATATGTAATGATGTCTGACTGACCACATCCTGGTTTTTGTTTTTTATTTCTTTAAAAGTGGATGCTAGTCATATTCAAAGTAGTGGGTAATAAAAGAAGCAATTGTTGGATGCTATTTTTTGTTTTTGATGTTAAGTAGCTGTGTGCCTCATATAATGCACAGCTTTAACCACTGAATACTAACCTTTCACAAACTTCTTCTGAGCTGCATTTATGAAACCATTTGTGTCTTATTACGATTAATTAAGTTAAATTTATGTCCTTTTAAGCAATGAACTGTTACTGCCTTCATTTTAAGTTTGTATCTGAAGCACAGTGAGATTATGTGGCTTGCCTATAATCAATAAAAAAGTCACTTACAGAAACAAGTGTTCTTTAGCTCTAATCTATATCTTTTAACAAGATGCTTCCCCTTTTATGATTCCCAAGTATTTTCAAATAACTATGGTCATGATTAATTAACTATGTAAGATTTCAGGGTATAGATTTTTTTTTTTGGTCATATAATGCACCAAGAGAAAAGGGTTTTTTGTTTGTTTTGCTTGTTAGTGGTTGTTTTTTGGTTTTGTTTGTTTGGTCGGTTTTTGGTTTTGTTTTTTTTTTTGGCTATGAAGCAGTTAGATTGAGATCTCTTTCCTCATGATACAGAACTGACAGTGCAGCAACATGTTGCAACTAATTCCAAAATTGCTTTTCCTCTTTGCAGACACAGTTTCATATCATATTTCTGTAACAAGTCTCTAAGATTAACCTTTTATAAATGAAACAGCATAAAAACAGAGTTGCGATATAATACAGTGAACTTCTGTAGCAATAAAACATATATTTTAAGGGGCCATTGTCTCTTAGCAGGACCAACGGTCTCTACTGCTGAAAATAACAATAGAAAATTCAGGTTGAAATATTTTGTTGGCAGAATTGGAAAACAATCTTAAGAAAAGCAGCTTATGCTGTTCCACACACCAAACAGAAATGTTAGTGCCTCATTTTTTTTTTTTTTTTTTTTTTGAGTAGAACAGATAGTTTTCTGTGAGCTTGTGTATATGCACATACATGCAAACACATATATTCCAGGACAGGGCAGACTTCTAGAGATTTCTAGTCAGTTGTACTCACCAAGGCAGTGCCTGAATTCAGTCTACTTCAATCTTCAGCTTAAAGCATGAGAGTGAAACAGTTTCAAACCAGTTACTTCCTCTCTAGCCCTGTCAAAAGTATGACAAACAGTTCCTGGACATCTGTCTTGCTTTAGTTCCTATTGTTCTTGAACAAAGGTGTTATATCAGTAGAAAATAATATACGCTCATCACCTGCTCTTCCAATGTTTCCTGGCATTACAAGAATACTGTTTTACAGAAATTTGTTTCTACAGTAGCAGCTGACTTCTAATACTGGCTGTGTCATGTAGAGCATTTTACAAGGATTATTTAGATGATTATAAAGCCAAAATAATTCAAATACCTTAAAGGTCAATTTCATACGAAGTGTCATTTTTATGCTTAAATCTAGCTATCACTCATGTTATTTAAATTTAAATCAAGAACATCAGTAATTAAAAATTAAGAATCTATATTACTGAATCTTTCCTAGAAAGACAAAACAGAGATTTTTTTAATTTAAATGGACTTATAATTGTGATTTCTGTTTTAAATCTTTTTTTCTCTTTTTCCAATAGCGGCTCTGATTCGAGGGAATCGTAAGAACTGTGCTCAGTTTTCTGGATCTCTTGATTGGTTGATCAGCAGATTAGAAAGACTGGAAGCCTCTTCTGGTATACTTTTTACGATTTTAACTTTCTTATTTGACCAGTTTTTCATTCTTTAACATTGGTAATATACTTCTTCAGTCTAATTATCGTGATGTTCTTCCTATGAGAGAGTAAATTAGTGAGATTTATATTTGTAACATTTTTGCATTTTGATTGCAATTGTAGTTTTAACTTAAGTTCTGACAGTCTTTCGTTTTCCTTGACCAATTGGTAGTAATGCTATCTTTTAATTCAGGCAAACAAACCATTCAGTGAAACAGCCGTTGTACAGTTTCAGTTGTCTTAAGTTGCTTTTTCTCTAATTGTAGTACCTTATTACTAAAAATTGGCAAAATCACAGGCTAGATCTTTCTTCCACTACAGTCCCCCTTTGGTGTGAGGGCACTCATCTAAGGAGAATGTTCTCACAATTATGAAGTTGCCTGGGATTTCACTGCAACCTTCTTAGTTTCAATGTATTTTCCCATTTGTTCACAGTGAAATTATTTCCTAACAGGCCTAATTTTATACCTGAAACTCTCAGGGCTAGGATTTTCAGAAATAATTCAAAATTTTACACTCAACTTGTAGAGGTTTGATATGAAATTTATTACAACAGCTCTATAAATGCTGTGTTACATGGATTCTGTTATATCTGTATTTTCAAAAATTGATCTCAGTAAAAATAAAAATAAATTAATTTGAAAATTAAAACCTGAATATTTATGTTTATGATACTGTAGTAAGGTATGAGATGAATTTTGTAAACTCAAAAGTAATCTGACATTGTAGTTGTACTGCATAATGAACCTCATGACATGGTGCAAAAATTCTGAAGGAACTAATATTTGCAATGCTCATTTCCTTCTAGGAACTAGGCCACTTGAACTTCTTCCCCATATGTTCTGGTAACATAACTTCTATGTTACCTCCAAAACTGAGATGTTTTCTGGTTTTGAGGGAGTCAGTTATACAAGATGCTAATTATGCTGTGCTTTAGTTATCTCAAGAGGCATAGTAGGCTTAGCTTTTAGTCTGTAAATGTGCTTTTTTGATTTTATGTGGGGTGCTTGCTTGCAGGATCTTAAGATTTATATGGCTTGATTGGAGTTATGATATTCACTGTTTATTTTACGGTAGTAGATCTAAAATAGCAAGAAATACTGGATTATATTACAGCATTTAAATTAGAATACCTGGCTGCGTATATTCACCTAAAATAATTAATTAATTTTATAAGGTAGCATGTTTGTGAGGAAGAAACACCATGCTCTGTCAATCACACCAAAATTAAGTTCACTTTCAACATTTAAGTTGTTAGGTACATCTCCTGCAGCTCTTTTCTTGAATGTGTTGCAATAAAGATTTGAGGCCATAAACTGTTATCAATAAAATTCCTATTTTCACTTCTTTCTTATCCTTGAACTAAAAATGTTATGAAAACAGAATAAAAGCATTAAATATATAAAAAGCAATTGTGAGTTGATTTTACAAGTTAGATTAGAAATTGATTCAGTTCCTGATCTTCACTGAAGCAAAAGAAAGAAAATTAAGATTTGTCCAAGTATAAATGTGTCTGAGAGCAGACCATGTCAGAAGTGAGTTATCACAGGAGCTGAGTGAATAATGCAATGCAAATGCTTCAGCTGTCTCTTTAATATATAAATTAAGATGAGATTAGTTTTTCACTCTTAAATATAATTGAGATGGGATTAACCAGTCCTAAAATTTTAAAGGCATTAAAGCATAGGTAATAAAAAAATAGAATAGGGCAAGTTAGTAATCTAATATCCTCCAAGTGAAGACTTTTGGAACCAGATTTTGACTATTTTTTTAAGGGCGTGCATTTTATTCTAGTATTCTACACTGTGACATTAGAGGAGTCAACTTGTTGTCCCAAAAAGATATGCTTCCTTTCATCTGTTAGTCATTAAGAAAAAATTTTCACTCATCTTTATCATAAACTCTGCATATCATACTGTTTGTGATATTTGTATTAAATTTGAAAACTTCCTGCTTTACTGCCTTGAGCAACTCCAAGAAAATTAGGAAAGGTCCGGTTGTCTTTGATGTAGACAATCTAAAAGTGGATCAGTCCAAATAGACATTTTACATTCGTGTGTGTTTTTTTCTGAAATAGAGGGAATTTGCCCTTAGAACAAAATGTGTTTGATAATTAGCACTCGGTGCAGTAATTGAAGGAATTTCTGTGGCAGCTGGGTCTAATTGATAGCATTCATTTATTATTGAATGTTTATATCTTCAAAGTATTTTTACTTCTGTTATTGAAAAGGTTAAGACTAGTAAATGAACCTTGGATACTATCTGAAGACAAAATTAAGATTATGAATCTACCTACAGAAATCTGAGAATTCCAAGGTTATGGTTACCACACTTAAGTTACATTAATCATTTCATATTGGATTACTGTTTATATTGTTAAAAATGTGTTTCAGTGCTACAATAAGATGTGGCAAATTTTAAATTTCCAAACTTTGAATGTAGTGGTTTTCCTTCATTCCCAAACCACTGTGGCACTCAAGGAAGTGACTGATCTTGTTACAGATTACCCCTCTAGGTGGAGGAACCTTTTGTAACACTTTTCTTACCTCCCTAGGTACTTTTGCCGTGTTCAAGTGACTCCTGCCTGTCTAGTTGGCAAACTAGGTGGATGTGCTCCTGCTATGTTACGACAGGGCATCTACTCCTGTAGCTCGCTCTCATGACTCTTAGCTTTTTATCCTTTTTATCAATATTGTTATTATTAATATTGGAAGTCTACATCTATTGCAGCCCAGATCATACATTACCAAATTCAGGTTTAATATGTCCTCTTATTTGTAGTTGAGACTTTCTGCTTATATTTTCAGAGCTCCAGAATAACTTTGGGAGTTCATGTCTAGCTCATTATATCGTGGTTGTGACTTTTTTGAAGCCACCACACAGAACAGGAACATTGTCCACAATATCTGTACAGGGTCACGTGCATTTTCTGTTTACATGTGTATGACTCCATCTTTGAAGATATTAAAACACACACTTTTTTTTGAAACCTGTTTGCCAGATAAATCAAATTATCACTGTATCTGTTGCCTTCCACCTTTACTACATTTCAGTCCTTGAGTAATCTTTACACTTTATTAGTGATGACAGTGTGTCTTCCTCCGCATCCTCGCGGGGGTTGGGGGGGGGGGAAATTTTGGGATAAAAGGTGATGGTGCTGTAGGTTGTCCAAGATTAAAAAAAGAGATCTGAATGAAATCAGATGACTGCAGCCATGATTGAAGTCACTGGGAATTCCAATCCTCATTTTAATTCAAATTTTATTGGGAAATAAAAAAATAAAACTGCCTTTCACATAGCAAGTAATTTAACCATTGTCTCTTCTGGCAGACTAACTTGGTCTTAACAAGGATGGGAATCTAAAATCTAAGTTTAAAGAAAAAAATTAAAAATCTTTGTTGACATATATATGACTGTTCATAACTATTAATATCTTTTTATCCCTTTGTAAGAAGTCTACAAATCCCAATTTCTGTCCTTAGTTAGATAATTTTTGTTATGATGAGGTCTACAGTTTCTTCAATTGTGTTGGTTTTTTTACTTTTGATCCAAATGCAAGTAAGCGTAATACAAGTTGATCTGAAGTTAACAATTAAAAAAAAATTCATGAACTGAAGGTATTTTAGTCTTTGCTGGTGCATAGCAATGGAACATGTCCTAAGTCTACAAATGCATATCTTTGCATAGGTAGGTTATTTCTATAATAAGTTGTTAATGATGTTTAATATTCCTTTCCTTAATAAGATACTTGGGAAATTCTTCAGATGGGATTTTCTGATGAAAAGAGAATAGATTAGATTTGGAACTCCTGGACATTTATACTCCTCATGAATAGTGGTTTTAATACCAGTCTGTAATAGTTTCATAGTTCTTACTTATTTCATTCAATTTCATTATTCACTGCATAAGCATGCATTTCATACTTACCAAACAGATTTATTGGTTCCAACAATGTTTTATATTAATTACTTTAAATTCTGTTCAGAGTTTATGGTTTTCAGCTTTTCTTTTAATTTTTGCTTGCTTATTTCTAAAATTCTTGCTCAATAAACTTTTAATTTTTGGTTTATGAGAGGCTTTATGATCAGTTAGTTGTATTGTTCCAGACTATATTGTTTGGTTAGTCAGAGATTATTTAAAAAAATAAAAAAGGATGTGTGTGTATAAAAAATTTCCCCCATAAATCAAAATACATATTCTTTTTCCTTAAATTTGTATTTGTTTGTTTTTTTTTTTTAATTGTTTTCAAATTGAAAAGCTTGGTTTTATTGTTTACAAATTCAGAAAACCTTGGATGCATACTGAGGACAGTTATGTGGGTGAACCACAATCTTTAAATTCTTAAATATTAGCTGTCATTTACTTATGATACATATTTTTTCAGAGTTTTATTCAAAACCAGTGGAAATTAACAGAAAAGCGCTTGCTCTCCTCTGTAAGCCTTAGATTCAATCTGGAATGTTAAGGTGAGAGGGAGACAGCTGATCAGCATAAAGACTGTTTCAAATCTAATATTTCTGTATCATGGAATCATAGAGTCATTTAGGTTGGAAAAGGCCTTTAAGATCATAGAGTCCAATCGTTAACCTAGCACTGCCAAGTCTATCACAAAACCATGTCTCTAAGCACCACATCTACGCATCCTTTAAATACCTCCAGGGATGGTGACTCCACCACTTCCCTGGACAGCCTGTTCCAATGAAATGTATGTTCAGTTCGTAGCTGTTTGGAACTTTTTTCTTAGCTGACTCTAGTCTTACTCAGCTGTAGCAGCTGATGATCGTTTTCTCACTAGGATCAAAGAAAGATCAGAATACTCTTACTGAGACAGCATTTTTGTCTGAGGAATTTTGTTTCCCACACTGAGTGTAGTTTACATTGATATATTTTTCTTTCAGTAAAAGAGATCATGGCAAAGAACAGAAGATTCATGTTATGGAACTTGCTTTGCAAGGGTTAAGCAGAGTGTTTGGAGCCATAGCCTGAATACAATAATGAAGACGGAAAGATGAGAGGTGTACGGGGCAAATAGGAATTGCGTATCTCTAGGTTTAAGGCTGCTTCTCAACTCTCTCTCAGTGCTCTGACTTTTCTCAGTGTGGAAACAACTATAGCAACTGATGATGAACCACATGCATAATGTTTGTCTTTACCAAATGTGGAAGATCCCAAAGCAAGTGGTGACTTGATCTAGTACACGTGGGAGCCCATTTTACTGCCCTATTGCAGGGAACCATTTTAAGGCTAATGATTCTTGATAGCAAAGACTGCTGCTTTATTGGGGTTGGAACTGAATTTAATTGACGGGCCACTGGAGATTTAGTGTTCTTACTTCAGTGCACATCTTATTTTCATGCTAGTTACTATTTGGTCTTTTAAGAACATTGCTGTGGCTCCCAGTATAGCTGTTACATACACAAAGAAATTATACACAGTGGGCCAGTAGACTGGGAATTTACCTCTGCTTTCTAATTGGGAGGTATACGATTCTATTAGTGGTTCATATGGTTTTTTAAGGGAAGAAATGGAAAACTGTAAATATGGAGAGCATATTTTTTGTATCCAATACCTATGTAGTATGAAGTCTTCACCTTTTGGAGCCACTGAAAACCAGTATTTTACCCAGTTTGTTTGAATTTGTGAGTGTTGATCATTGCATTTATTATTGAATTTTCAAATTAATTTACAGGTTTTTTTCCTGTCCTTTCTGATATTTACTACATTTACTTATTTTGGGAAATCTGGAAGTACATCAATCCTATTGTGGTTTTGTTTATCGTATGTAATGGTTTTTGAAACTATTCCATGTTATTGAGCAATATATTAAGAAGTATTATATGCAGTTATGATTTTATATGCACTTTGAATAAATAATTTTTCTTTTTCTCCCCAGGAATTCTAGAAGTTTTACACTGCGTGTTGGTGGAAAGCCCAGAAGCTCTAAACATTATTAAGGAAGGACATATTAAATCAATCATCTGCCTTTTGGACAAACATGGAAGAAACCATAAGGTAGGCAAAGAAGAGACAAGTATATCTAGGTGAAAATTTGTGAACAAAGCAAGCATGTTGTTGTGTGTAGAAGTTAGATTTCAAATACTTCAATACTGTATTCATAATTAGGAATGAAACATTTGATATGGCATATCATATGCATATGAGCAGTCTGATATGGCATATCATATACTGTATTCATAATTAGGAATGAAACATTTCCTAAAAGGCATATGAGCAGTTTGAAGAAGCAAACAGGAACGTTAATTTATTTTTGATGAAAACACCAATGCACACTAAATCTCAAGGGAAGCAGGAAGAACATGTCTTAATATTGTTAGGAGAATTTCAGAATTGCTGTAAAATAAGACTACTTTGTTGGATGAATTACATACTCTTACATGTCTTCCGGTAACAAGATATATAGCATTATATTGCCTGAAGTAACTCGTGTGATTGTAAACTCTTTAGCATGAAAAAATATTTAAGATTAAAATAATCTTTCTTTTTTTTTTTCTTTTTTTCTTTTTTCTTTCCGTTTTCAGGTTTTGGATGTTTTGTGTTCTCTTTGTGTTTGTCATGGAGTAGCTGTGCGGTCTAATCAGCATCTAATCTGTGATAATCTCCTGCCAGGAAGAGATCTGCTTTTACAGACACGCCTTGTCAACCATGTGAGCAGGTAAAAAGAAAAAGAAAAAAAAAATCTGTATCTGTGAATAATGCAGAATAAAACTTGGGATTAAAAGAAGTAGTCTTTTAATAGTTGCAGAGAAACTTTTTTACTTCCAAGACTTTTGATAAAATATTTTATTCTTACTAGGATTTTAAATACTCTTTGCAATATTGATTAGAATCAAAACATGGGTCAGAAAGGGCTGCTGCAGAATACAGCTGCTCTAAACTGCTTTAAGTCTGTGAAACTGTAGAGTGTCTTCTAAAGGTTCTTGTCTGGATCTAGCTGTGCTATCGAAGTATTGTCAGCCAGTGTCTGGTGATTGCCTTTAGGTTTCTGATCTTGTGAGGATTTCCTAATCACCTTTGGTCAAAATCAAGAACTTAGTGCCAAACACCTTCACCAGTTTCTTAAACTAATGTTGTTGATTTTGCGTGGGATATTTAGGGAGTGCCCACACCCTTCCTTCCACTGTCAGAATTGTAGAAGCTACCTTTCAGAAGACATTCATGACAAGATAAAGCTAGTAACAGAAAAGCAATATTTAAAAAGTCAATGTTTATCCAGAGTTTGAATTTATTCTGAGGCAGAAGAATCTGGCTTAGTGAAGTGATATTCCTCTGTCTCAAATTTATGTCTATTTAAAAAATCTCAATCATTAAGTGAAAATGAAAGTTGAAATATAGAAATAGTACTTATAATTCAGAATTCATATGATTTGTTAGATGCTGAAAACAAAAAAAAATCCACAACTGTATATTAAAAGGAGGCCTTTTCAAGTGAAAATGACAAGTCTAAAAGTGAAATGAATACGATAATTTTATAGCTAATACACTCACTCGTATTTTTCATAACCACATGTGACTTGACTTGCCCCAAGACATCCAATAGCACACCTACATATACAAAACATGGAAAGGTGGTGTAATGCGAATCGTTCCATGTCAGCAATAAATTTGAAGTGGTAAACCAAAATCCCTAATGTAAACTTCTGTTGGTAATGCATGAGAAGAAATTTTAAATGTGTGGGTACTGACTGAGCTTCTGAGCTGACTTTGGATCTTGTACAAGGAAGGTAGAGCTGTCTTTGCCAAATATGGTTGTAGACAAAGCAAATAGAGTTAGTACATATTTTTCCTCTGTGTTAGGAAGTTGTGAATGAGAATATTAATATTCTTGCAGTTGTAAGAAAAAGATTATTTTTTCGAAGTCACAAAGACCAATGAAACATTGAAAACATATAGCGATATACTGAGACTTGCATACCTCATACCAAAAATAATTGGCAAAGAACTTTCTAAGATACTGCTGTTTAACATAATTTTCCAGGGGACTGGAAAATTCTATTCACAAACGTATTTAAAGTAAGTTGGACTATTAGGTTGATTAAATTGTGGAGTCTGGACAAAGGCATACTAAGGCTGATACTGTGTTCAAGCAGAAAAGATTAAATTGGCGATCTTACCAAGAATTTACAAATGATTTAACTTTTCTGGAATATAGCTTTTGTCAAACAGGTTTTGTTTATATTTTTAAGGAGATAAATGTTTGACTTGCAACAAAGTCAAGAGTATCTATTAAACTTTTGGCAAAAGACACCTCATATACTTCCAGAAGGAAAGTGTATTAGTCATGTAATAAACCAAGTTATTTTATAAGCAATCAGATCAGTAAAGTCTGCTTTTACACTGACTTGTATTTAACGGCCTGCAAACAGGTTTTGTTTATATTTTTAAGGAGATAAATGTTTGACTTGCAACAAAGTCAAGAGTATCTATTAAACTTTTGGCAAAAGACACCTCATATACTTCCAGAAGGAAAGTGTATTAGTCATGTAATAAACCAAGTTATTTTATAAGCAATCAGATCAGTAAAGTCTGCTTTTACACTGACTTGTATTTAACGGCCTGTATCAACCCTTCTACCTCCCCCTACTTTCCC